CATATTTATTTTATCAACGTCCTACTTTAAATTCATATAATTGATATGATTTTTTTTAGTTAGTTATTTTTTTTTTCTTTGATTATATTTCTCCATACCTTGTAAACTACTGTTGTAGTGAGTTGTGTGATATAGCACTCAATATAGTTCGAGTATGAGGAAAGGAATTCCTCGTCCGAGTCTTAAGTAGAGGAAAGGAGACGTGTGCGACGATGGAGAGATACGGGGACGATTTAACATAAAAATCTATCTCCTCTAATTCAGATATTTTGAACACGAAAGAAATGGGCCAAGGTCATTAACTCAAAATAAAATGGGCTAGATGGGCCGCCGGTTTTTGATGAGGAGAAGGCGGAGTCAATGGAACATCATCACAGGGATATTGGGATGGCTCTCGTCCTTCGACGTGCGTGCTTGACACCGCGTGGGGATTCTGATGATTCTATCCAACGACATCATCTGTTCGAGTCCACATGTACGATAGGCGACCACGTGTGCTGGTTTATTATTGATTCAAGGTCATGGGAAAATGTGATTGCACAAGAGTTTGTCAACAAACTCAAATTGTCGAGCGAGCCACACCCACGACCTTACTCATTGGCATGGTTACAGCGCGGCAATTCAGTCACTGTCAACCGCCGCGTGCTCGTCTCCTTCTCCATTAGTGCACCTTACCGTGATCGAGTTTGGTGCGATGTTGTCCCGATGGATGCTTGTCACTTTCTTTTGGGACATCCTTGGCAGTTCGATAGGGCAGCTACTCACGATGGCCATCTTAACACTTACACTTTCAGTTTTGAGGGTGTTAAGAATGTCTTACATTCGGCTCCACCTCGACCATTCCCTCAGTCTCCAACTGCTCCGGTTTTATTTCTTTCGTGAACGGATTTTGTGGAAGAACTGCGGGACGCCCTCGTTTGTTCTTTCGTTGTTGGGCTCCGACACCTCTCCCGAGCAGTCACCTCCTGCAGCTATCCTTTCATTATTGGCTGAGTTTTTGGATGTCTTTCCGGTTGAGTTACCATTGGGTTTGCCTCCTCTGAGGGACATACAACATCACATTGATTTGGTGCTCGGGGCAACCCTTTCGAATCGTCCATATTACCGCATGAGTCCATCCGAGCATGAGGAGCTGCAGCGACAGGTGGACGAACTACTACAACATGGAGTCGTTCGGCATAGCCTTAACCCGTGTGCTGTTCCAACCTTGTTGATACCGAAGAAGGATAGCTCATGGCGTATGTGTGTGGATAGCCGGGCCATCAACAAAATAACTGTTCATTACCGTTTTCCGATTCCGCGTTTGGACGATTTTTGGACCAGTTGCATGGCGCCACCGTTATCACTAAACTTGACCTGCAGAGTGGCTATCATCAGATCCGTATTCATCTGGGGGATGAGTGGAAGACAACCTTTAAGATTCGTGAGGGCCTCTTCGAGTGGCTAGTTATGCCGTCTGGTTTGTCCAACTCACCGAGCACCTTTATGCGAGTGATGAACCAAACGTTGCAGGACCTTATTGGTAAGTGTGTGGTCATTTATTTTGACGACATATTTATTTATAGCAAGAAAATGGAGGAGCATTTGTCCCACGTCCGTGAGGACTTATTGATTCTTCGAGCGGAGTCCTTTTATGCGGCGCCTCATAAGTGTTTTTTTTTTGTGTGTTCAGTCCTCTTTCTAGGTTTTGTTATTTCAGTGGCCGGCATTAAGGTGGATGAGAGTAAGATTGTGGCGATCAGGGAGTGGCCGACACCGACGACGATCACAGAGTCTCAAAGCTTCTATGGCCTCGCTTCATTTTATCGTCGTTTTATCTAGCATTTTAGTTCTATTATGGCTCCTATCACGGATTGTCTAACCGACAAGTCATTTGTGTGGACCTCCCAAGCTGTCGAGGCTTTTGAGTTGATAAATAGGCGGCTTACGTCTGCTCCAGTTTTGGTGTTACCCGACTTCTCACAACCTTTTGAGCTTTCTTGTGACGCCTCCAGGGTCGGCATTGGCGCGGTCCTGAGTCAAGGCACGCGGTCAGTTGCGTACTTCAGTGAGAAGATCTCAGGTCCTCGGCTTCGTTATAGCACGTACGACATCGAGTTTTATGCCGTCTATCGGCCGTTCGTTATTGGAGACACTATCTTTTTCATCTCGAGTTCGTGCTCTTTTCTGATCATGAGGCCTTGCGATATATCGCGTCCCAGGACAACATTAGTGCACGCCATGCCACGTGGATTTCTTACTTACAGCAGTTCACGTTTGTGTTAAAGCACCGGGCGGGGACTTCTAATCGTGTAGCTGACGCTTTTAGTCGCCGTTCGGTATTGTTGACGGACATGCGTATTTGATTTGTTACATGATCTTTACACATCAGACGTGTTCTTCGGCCCGATCGTTACACGTTTAGCGACAGGTCCTTTCGAGGATTTTCTTCTTGCCGATGGCTTTCTTTTCCGGGGCATGCGCTTGTGTATTCTGGAGTGTAGTTTGCGTTTGAAATTAGTAGCCGACCTACATGGGGCTGGTCACGTGGGTCAAGACAGGTCTGTCGCGTTGGTGCAACGGTCTTACTTTTTGGCCCACTTAGCAGCGGGACGTTTCCCGCTTTGTTTCCCGATGTCGGATCTGTCAGGTGTCCAAGGAAAGTGCGACGAACGCCGGTCTTTATCGACCTTTGCCTATTTCATCTCATCCTTGGACGGCCATCAGCATGGATTTCGTACTTGGCTTGCCACAGACACAGAAGGGACATGATTCTATTTTTGTGGTGGTGGACAGCTTTTAAAAAATGGTTCATTTTATTCCGTGCAAGCGGACGTCTGATGCTCTTCATCTTGCTCAATTATTCTTCCGGGAGGTTTATCGTCTCCACGGCCTCCCATCCTCGATTGTTTCCGACCATGACTCGAGGTTTCTTAGCCATTTTTGGCGCAGCCTGTGGCGTCTCGCAAATACTTGTCTTGACTTTAGTAGCGCCTATCATCCGCAGACCGACGGTCAGACGGAGGTCGTCAATCGTTCTCTTGGGAATCTCCTGCGTTGTTTGGTCGGTGAGAATTTGTGCAGTTGGGATGCGAGGCTTAGCCAGGCAGAGATCGCCCACAACTCGACCGTTAGTCGAGCTACCGGTTTTTCCCCTTTCCAGATGGTCTACGCGAGCCAGCCGTGTCGTCCGACGGATTTATTGTCCTTGCCATCCTCGGAAAATTTGGATCGCCGGGCCGAGGAGCTGATTGCGTCGATGCAACAGACGCATGCGTCCACCCGGGCGCGCCTTGAGGAGGTTACGACGAAGTACAAACGGAGGGCGGATACTCGACGACGGCATGTTGAGTTTGAGGTTGGCGACTTTATATGGGCTATGGTGACTAAGGACAGATTTACAGCTCACGAGTATAACAAACTCTCCGCCCGGAAAATTGGTCCGTTGAGATTGTTGAGAAAATTAATCCGAATGCTTACCGTCTTCGACTTCCATCGCATGTGCGCACTTCAGATGTGTTCAATGTCAAACATCTTGTTCCTTACTATGGCGACAATTCAGACGACGAGATCCCGTCGGATCGAGGGCGAATCCTTCTCAACCGGGGGAGAATGATGGCGACGAGATCGCATTGGCTTATTTGACGAGATACGATTGACTCCGAGTCTACAAGATATTTTATTGCATCTATTATTTATTTTTATTTCCCCTTATTTATTGCCTCTATTGTTAGGAGAATTATTATTATTATTATTAGGCTTTATCTAGTAGGTTCAGAAGATTATATATTAGGGGTTTTCATCATTCTGCAAACTTGGTTTTTGACGATTGAATAAAATTTATCTCTTGAGATTGTTCTCTTTTCCCATCGTACGCTTCTGTCTACGTCAATTTTTTATTTCAGCTGGCTTATCAACTAATTTACCAAACACTTTTACCATATAAGCTAGCTTTTCAGCTATAAGTCATATGCTATAAGCATTATAAGCTCAAAAATTATATATAAGCAATAAGCTAGTTTATCAGCTAACAGCTAGCTTATCAGTTAGTTTACCAAACATAGCCATATATTTGATTACCTTATAAGTTTCCTATATTTGAATAAATTTTGTTTGGTAGGATGAACTTATTTAAAAAGCTCGAGCTTATCTTATATGCTTCTTTGTGTAGCATTTCAAATAAGCTTGTTGAAATTTTTATTTCAACTAGCTTATCAGCTAATTTTACCAAACACTTTTATCATATAAGCTAGCTTTTCAGCTATAAGTCATAAGTTATAAGCTATAAGCTTGAAAATTACTGATAAGCTATAAGCTAGCTTATCAACTAGTTTTACCAAACATAGCATGATCAATTAGCTCGAGCTTTTAAAAAAAGTACGTCTACCAAACGAAGTTTATTTGAATACATAGAGCTTATAATTTAACCAAATAAGCTATATACTAGCTTATTTGGTTACCAAACATAGTCTAACTCAATCTCACTATATTATCAGCATAATTAAATAATATCAATCAATCATTCTTACACATCACATCGACTTTAATTCACTATTAATCCATACACATAATTTTAACTACCACTACAACTAGAATGTCATATTCCAACGAAAAATCCTACAGTAATATATTCCAATAAAAGTTTCAATGGATATTACAATGGTATAGCTTCTGTTGAATGATTCCCACGAAAATTTCAACGTAATTGTTATGTTGGAATGAGTTTTGTAGTGCCTCTTTCGTTTATTAGAATTTTCTGGGATTTATGTGATTATTTATTTGCATTTATATTATCTTTGCCTTCGGTTCTTTATATTTATTCGTTTGCTCGTTTATATTAACTGCTCGTTCTTGCCTTGTTTTATTTATCTGCGTAAATATTAAATTGCTATGTGATATGATTTATTTGATTATTATGTGGTTTTTTTTTTTTTTATTTATTTGAGTTAGAATTTAAAGTGTTCGGCAATTTTCGGTTTAATCGCGTGGTATTGTCTTTTGATCCGTTTCGATCCATTTTGTTTCTTTATATCCAAAACTTGGAGGGTTAATCATTTTCGGCCCATTGGGCATTGAGTATTAATTCGGCTCATCCCCTTGTGATAGTTATTACCAGCCCAAAAGGAATTAATCATAAGTGGTATGGTCCTCTTGTTCGCCCAAGTCGTCCACCAACATTGTTTGTCCGCCACCTGACCGAGGGCACGCTGACTGGCGGTGGCCCATTGCACCACAGAAAAAACAACACAAGCTGCCACTTTGCCGAGGACTGAGTTGTGCGCCTACAGTCGCGGAAGAACTCCCCAGGCTCGATGTTCCAGCGCGGTCCGCCCATTTCCCGACGATGCCGCTGTCGAGCTGCCAATACCCGAGGGCTCAGAGGTTGGTCGGCCCGCTGAAGATCCTGTCACTAAGCTGCCAGAAGTCGGTCCCGGCCGTGCCGGGAAAAACGCAGAGGTAGTCCGCCTTGCAATTTTGAGCTCGGCCATTAACGCGCGTTGGTGCGCATCAGAAAGGTTGTCTGGAATAAACAAGTTGACCGTGTCTTGAATCGGTATGCGAAGCCCACTGATGTATCGAGAAATGAGTTGATCCGTAGTCTCCCGACTATCAATACGTGTGAGCAACATATAGAACTCCTCCGTATATTCGTCCACTGATCGTGTTCCTTGTTGAAGGGTCTGAAATTTCTGATAAACGGTACGAACGTAATTGAAAGACAAAAATTGTTCCTCCATATGTTTACGAAATTTAGCCCAAGAATTAATTTTGGATTTACCCAGTCGATGTCGCCTCTCTTCGAGTTGCGTAAACTAAGCCCCGTCCCGGCCACGCAAAACGAGTTGAAACCAGCACCACACGGCGATCATCTGGCACACCTTTCAATTTGAGGACCCATTCCACAGTAATGATCCAATCGAGAAAGTCAGCGGCGTCAAGCCCGCCGAAAAATTCCGGCACATCCACCCTGAAGCCGGATTCCCAGCTGTTGTCTCCCGCCTCAGCCACTCGGCGGGGCACACGCCCTTCGCCCCAGTCCTCACTATTCTGGTGCTCCGCATGTCTACCGCCATCGTCGTCGTCCCATTGGCCCCGCCGGACGCCGAAAGGGTTAAATTCCGATAGGGCATCCTCGCCGCTATCATAGCCGTGCGTTGGAGGTGGCGACTGATGACGGGGCTCCCCGCCATGCCCTCTGCCGCCACGCTTGCCGCGAAACCCACCGCGACCCCCATGGCCTGCCGGATCGCGGTCCGTTTACTCACCTGTCATCATGGTACGGATGGCCAGTCGAATTTTGTCGATCCCATCAGAAAGTCCTTCCACCCGTCGATCAACTCGCTCAATTTGGAAGCCGAGATCATCTGTTCGCCAATCCAAATCCTCGAGATGGGTATCACGACGGTCGTTGTCATTTCGATTTGGCGGCATCTTGAATCGTTCTGGTCTATTGATACCAACTGACGTAGATAGAAGCGTACGATGGGAAAAGAGAACAATCTGAAAAGATAAATTTTATTCAATCGTCAAAAACAAAGTTGTTGTTGTTGGGAATATACTGGGTATGTTGTTGTTGTTGTTGTTGTTGTCGTCAAAAACAAAGTTTGCAGAATGATGAAAACCCCTAATATATAATCTCCTTAACCTACTAGATAAAGCCTAATAATAATAATAATAATTCTCCTAACAAATAGAGGCAATAAATTAAGGGAAATAAAAATAAATAATAGATGCAATAAAATATCTTCTAGACACGGAGTCGATCGTATCTCGCCAAATAAGCCAATGCGATCTCGTCGCCATAAAAAATTCAACTAGCTTATTTGAAAAGCTACCTAAAGTAGCTTATGAGATAAGCTCGAGCTTTTTAAAAAATCCCGTCCTACCAAACGAGGCTTATTTGAATATAGCAAACTTATAAGCTAACCAAATAAGCTATAAGCTAGCTTATTTGACTTACCAAACATAGCCATAAGTTATACGCTAACTTATTTGTCTACCACACATATCCGATAAGGTTATGTTTGGTAAAACTAGTTGATAAGCTAGCTGCTAGCTAATAAGCTAGCTTATAATTTTTCAGTAATTTTCGAGCTTATAACTGAAAAGCTAGCTTATATGAAAAAGTGTTTGGTAAAATTAGTTAATAAGCTAGCTGAAATAAAAAATTTCAATGAGCTTATTTGAAAAGCTACCAAAAGAAACATATAAAATAAACTCGAGCTTTTTAGAAAAGCTCGTCTTACCAAACGAAGCTTATTTGAATACTGGAGGCTTATAAGCTAATCAAATAAGATATAAGCTAGCTTATTGTTGTACCAAACATAGCCAAGTTTCTTTGGGTAGCTTTTTAAATAAGCTCGTTGAAATTTTTATTTCAGCTAGTTTATAAACTGCTTATAACAAACACTTGTATCATATAAGCTAGTTTTTCAGTTATAAGTTATAAGCTATAAGCTTAAAAATTATAAACTAATTTATCAACTATCAACTAGTTTTACCAAAGATAGCCTTAAAATTTAATTAGGTTTGAGTTGAGATTAATTTATTTTAGTAAATTAATAAACAAACAAACTCTAAAGCTACTGCACCTAGCGCATAATAGTATGCAGAACAAAATGTGGTTAATTTAAAATTAGTTAATTAACTAAAAAAATCAAATCTCATATTTTGTCTTATTATGATTGTAAAAGTTGCACATTATTTCATTATCTATGTTTCTATAATTTATTTAAGAAATCCTTATTTTAAAATTCACTTATAATCTCCTACATATCAATTTAAAACGTGTTGAGCGTAAGTGATTGGATCGCACGCTTCGAATGCTGATATAGATAAATTATGTGCTTCATAATTTAGTTTATATATACATTATTGCTTTAAAATTTAGATAAATACTTTTTAATTTTGGGTGTCATTTATTTTTATCCTATTTTTCTCTTTCCCGAATTAAATCATACCATACTGATATTATTTATTCTCATTTTTTTTTTATCTTTTAAATTTTGCATTTCTTATTATAATTTAAAAGTTAGTAACTTTTAATTTGTATTTTGTTTTTCACATATATCAAATGTTTATAAGTAAAATTTGAATTTCTTTATCAAACCAAATTCAAATATACAAATAAAACTATATATTATCTTATAAAATAAAATAAAATAAATTAGATTAATATACCATATAATAATTTACTATATTTTATATACTATTACACAATGAGACTTATGAAATAAAAAGTGATTATTATTATTTTATGAGATTTTATTATTACTTTATAAAATTTTAAACTTACTTAAAATATATAAAAATAGATAGATTAACTTAAATGAATATCACAATTGAAAGTGGTTATTTTGGTGTTTTAACTTATTCCAATACATATGTATATATGATACTTGAAAAAGTAATAGATGAGATTTATTCTATATTTAATTATAATGTAACAATGTTTGAAAAGAATATTAAAAAAATTAAAATGAAATTAGCGAAAAGTGAATAATATTTGCCTTTGGTATATATAATTTTACAAATGTAATTAAAATGATTATAATTTTAAACATTTGAGGGTAAAATCGTGTATTATTTTAAATATGTATCATTTTATTAGCTATTCATTATTTATTTTATTTTTATGATGTAAATATAAAAACTTTTATATATCCATTTTTGAAAAATGGATATAGAAAAGAGCTATCCGTTGGCTCAATAAGATTTGTATGCATTATGATTAACCGACACTTGTTTGAAAAATAGTACGGCCGCCTCATTCCAAAAATGTAAGAATAATTTATTCTTTTCCAAAATGTGAATTTACAACACAATTTTTCTCAAAGAACTTGATAACACCCAAACTTTATTGGTTGATCCATATAAGGAGAAGGAATTAAATGATTAAAAAAAATAAAAGAATTGAACTAATTAGCAAGTGCAAGAATTACAATATTTCTTGCCCCTATCAACAAGTCCTCATATTCTAATTAATTAATTAACGCCACCACCTTTGGCCGTGGAAGAAGCTTCCATAGACGGGCACGGGCCTCCGCCTTGGCCCGGTATGTACGTGCATGATGAACTACTTGATGGTGGAACCGGGCCTCGTGGTAGAGAAGATTCTAGTAATGGGACTTGTTGCCTTTCCCATTTTTCGGAACGTACAATATTTCTAACACCATGTACTCCATTTAATGATATCATCAAAAGAAGCAAAAAAGTATGAAAAGTGATTACAATAATTTTGTTCTTAAATGAAACCATCTTCCCTTTATTTGAAATTCTACAAACATATTGTTTCATTGAGGAGAACAAAGGGTAGTTATAGGCAAAAAAATCTCCGTTGACTAAGGTGGCTAAGTGGTGTATATATTTTTCAATTCTGACGACAGTGGCTTGAATGGGAAACGTTTGAATCCATGTAATACTTNTCATCTTTGACCAGCCCAAAAAACTCGAGTTGGCTACGTAAAGGGCAAATAAGAAAGCAGAAAAAAGTTATATACTTTGAGAAATTGCGGTGGAAAAAAGTTAAAAGGGACAAATTAGTTGGGTTTGTTAGGTGGATATGAAGAATTAAATATACCGGCCACAATAAAAATTAGCCTTTAAAATACTTATTGTTTATTGATATCATTCACATAAATAATTTACAAAGGTCGCTTCATACGTCATAACTGTGATACTTCTGTTCATTTTTATTTTTATTTTTTTCATTTTTAGTTACGCATTGGACAAATATTTATATTCCAATAGAAATGAATGAACTATAAACGCAAAGAATACTTCAATATTATTAACAAAATTTTTTTGGTCCACTAATTGGTACATGTTGAAAATATTTAGGGTGTGATTATTTATGGATTCAACTAGTTTTTATTTGGTTTGTTTTTTAATTTTAGTTAATTTTAAAAAAAGATGGTATGGTTAGTTGTTAGTGGATATATTAAATAATATTTAAAAATAATAATTAAAATTGATTTGATGTAAAGTAAGAGAAAAATGATTGGAAGTGATAGTTAGTTAAAATTATGTGAGTGGATAAATAATGAATTAAAGTTGATGTGATGTGTAAAAATGATTGTTTGATATTATTTAATTATATTGATAATATTGGAGATAGTGGAGTAGAGTTAAATTTGAGTTTTGATTAGTTTTTTTACTGTTCAAACCATATTCAATCACCCCCTTTTATCCTTAAAGAAAAAGTATTTTTGGTATTCATTCATTTTTTAGTGGTTTCAATTGGTCCAACAAAATCTTGAATTTGTAGGAATAAATTGCTATATGGTAGTTGATGTGCCAAATTCATTGTGGGAACTAGCATGCTCGAATCGGACTCGCAAAGTGTCGGGAGAAATTTTCCGCCTACACAGTCCAATTTTCAAATTAGCTTTTGGTGATTTTTTTTTTAATGTGTATTGGAGAATTAGAGAGTTTTCAACCTATTATGGTGATATATTTAATAATGTGTGGCTGCGATGTACAAGAAAAAAATATTAAGATTGAATTATAAATAAAAATATAAACACACCATGAACCATTATTCATCATACATTATGAAAGATTTTAAATACACTAACATTTTCTTGACATAAATATTCATATATTATTTAACATGTTATTAAAAAAACATTCTTGACTTGACTATTTGGACATCATTACTTTATTGTAGTAAAGTATCGTTATTGTTAATAATATAGAAACTAGTATTCGACCTGTGCATTTGCGCAGATGATTTAAATAAAGTATTAGGAGTTATTTATAAACATATAATATTAAAACTATAAGTTAGATAATTGTATTATATTTTAAACATAGAGTATTATAAATTATATTTATGCATACAATATTCAAATTATAAGTTAGATATTTCTATTATGTTTAATATTTAATCATTGGTTAAAATAAATAGTACTTAATGATTTGATTGCATATGAATCACTATATTGATTGCATACAATGTAATAAATAATATAATTTTTGTAATTTTGAGAGATTATGACCAATTAATTAATTGAAAAATATTAAATTTATTATAACAACTGCTTATGCAATTTTAAGGAATTTTACTATGGCATAAAATAAATTGATTTATTTAAAAAATAATCACTTAACCAGATAAAATATATAATATTGATTTTAGAATAAATAATTTGAACAAAAAGGTTTTAAAATATAATATTTTATGCTTATGTATTTTTCATATATCAAGTGGAAAATATAATTATTAATTTTAAGAATAAGAATGCTACATGAAGAACATAAGCCAGATGACGGTACGGGAAGACCTCATATATATATATATATATATATTAT